TGAGCATGTTTCAAGACATATTAGCCCTTTAAAATTTGAGCCATGAAATAACTGCAAGACATCTTAATTTTTTTTGATAATGGAGTGTTTGCTGAATCTTTAGACAAAATATATAAAAATCTATCAAGTTTTAATCTGCATATATACGAGTTTTAATTTGTATCATGTTTGCTACATATGCCATATTTTTGCAATTTAGTCACTAAAAATGTGTCACGCAATTTATATAATTTTTTGAGGATAAAAAACGTCAAGCTGATGATCTAGAAGTCTCAAAACACATGTATCAAAGACAATACCCTGGGCGTTAAAGGGTTAAAGGGTAAATTTGAACAAACACGTTTATAGTCGAAAGGGTTAACGGTTTTGATGCTTCCTTAATTTGTTGTCGATCAGCTGTTTCCATACAGTCCATATGGTGCAGCTGTTTGACTCTCTGATGGGATTTCTGAATAAATACAAATATACTTACCTGTGTAAGTAAGTCATTTCTATCAATTTTTGACAAGTCCACCAAAGAGGTAATCTTCAATTTGAGAACATCTAGAAACACAAAGATATTGTCATGTATGGCTGTGTATGCTGGGGAAAAAAATCCACAAAATAAACTTACGAATAACAAACCAAAACTTGAACATGGAAACTAAGAAGTAAACATTGGAAACTAGAAACAGAAGCACTAGGAAACGAGGAGCATGAAACTAGCAACGATGGAAACAGAAACACAGAAACTTAGAGACATGGGACGACGCGATTGACTGGAGATGCACAAACAGAGGTCAAGGAGAAGAGACAGGAACTGTGTAACACAGGTGAGGCAACAAAACAATACCAAAGAACTAGAAATCACCAAAAACTAACTAAAAGAAAGAACATCAATAATAAAAACATAAACACTGGGTCGCCACACTCAGGACCATGACAGACATGTTAGAATCCAATAGAAATCACTGTACTCTATTCAGTTCTCAAAGTTTTCAAGCAACGTCAAGTCTGTTGATGATTTTTTAATTCAGACCAAATACATTTTTTCTTTTTTGTGTGTTAGCAAAAAGAAATATGCACTGTGAATTTTGAGATGGTGGTGTAAAACTCATGTCAACCATGTTGTCCTACATGAAACATTAAGGTCCTGTGTTTGTCCACCAAGGCTTAGTTAGCTTTACTTAATCATCTATTTACTTCCTGCTGGCATTTTCGATCATCATTCTATATTTCTTGCTTTGCTGAGTTTGTTCACTAGTTCACACTGTTGATTGCAAAGGCAACCATTGGGTTTTGTGGCCTGGTGAAAATCACATCTTATCACCTGATGACTTTATTTTGGACTTTGGATTTTGTATGCAGTTAGTCAGTACTGCAAAATTCACTCAATATACCTCAAAAGTATTTTGCTGGTTTTACAAATTAAGAATTGAGAGTATTGTGTAGTGATATAAAATTGGCATAATAATATGAAGTGAGAGTAATATATCTTGTACTGAGACAGTGTAAAAATCATGTCATTTCATTCATACTCACAAGATGGTTCACTGGGTGTAGTCGTTTCGGGTGTTGTGGTTATTACTGGTCCTGTAAACAGTCAGAATTAGACCTTATAACTCTGTTACACTGATCCAGTAAATTAGATTTAAAATGTGGCTGAAATGGTGACGGACTCTACTCACCTTTTACAACGGTCACAGTGACGCATCGAAGCTCTGAGTGATACTTGGTCCCACTGCAGAAATAAGTCAGTGCAATAGATCTGTTATTAAGAGTACAAAATGATTCTTTATGTAGTTTCACATCATCTTTCCTTTTCAAGTATACCAGTATACCTCTCCAACACTCCTTAATGATCATGCTTACACCACCCAAAAACAAGTATAAGCAGAAAAGTTGACACAGACACACTTAACAGTAAAGAGAAATCTGAGAATAAAGAGAAATCTGATGATTTGATGTTTTAAATGTGATCAAAATACAATAAATATGACAAAAATCCGACTTGTAGTCTGTTTAGGAAATACCTTGACTGAAAGATGTCAAAGCAAATAATAATAAAGTCTAATGTTTCATTATACAGGCGTCTGATTCCATGATAATTTGAAGTACCTTAACCACTGATACTTTGTATCTTAATTGAGCATGCTTTCATAACATTTTTTTCTTAACAATCCAGCAACTTTCTCCTTGTTATTCCTAGAGGTACTAGTTTAGGACAACCCCGTAAGTTGGCTCAGGTGGTACAGCAGGCCATCTACCAATTAGCAGGTTGGTGGTGGATCAATCCCCAGCTCTTTCTGTCCATATGCCACAGTATCATGATACTGACTCAGCACTAGGGCTGCCACGATTAGTTGACTAGTCATGATTATGTCGACTATCAAAATTGTCGATGACTAATTTAATAGTCGACGCGTCGTTTGAAATTTTTTAAGATCCCAAAAGACGCAGGAATAAGTGGTAGGATTTAAGAGTAATAACGGACTGAAACAGAAGATGGCAGCACTACATGTACAAGGATGCCAGCTGCCGTTAAACCCCGAAGAAGAAGCTGTGTCCCAGAATTCATAGCGCAGCCCAGCTCAGTTTCCAACAATGGCGGCACCTAGTTAGTTTTAATATTACTCTTATTATTCTTTCTGGGTCACAGAATACACGTTTAACATATTTTCAGGCGAGAATGTAGCTGTGTAAACCTCAAATATCTGCTCAGTTTATCAAGACACCACATATGTCTGTGAAGGTTCTCAGTCCTCCAGGTCATCGTAGTCAAAGGAGCTTGCAAAGAAAAGCGTCTGGACTTCTTTAAGTTACTTGAAGATGTTTCACCTCTCATCCGAGAATGATAAGGTTTTCGCTTTGATTTCCCCCCCCCCC